TCTATAGACTTAAAGTTTTCAACGAAGACAGACTATGGTGCCAAGAAGCCACTCATGTAAAATTCCAATGAAATCGACAGTTTTATAGTTGCTTGAATATGGCTCATGATCAGTTTGTCCAGGACAGTTGTATTGATAGCCCCCCCCCCCCCCCCATTGCTAATTATTGAAGTGAATTATTGAAACCCGAAATGACCTAGTTTGTGTCGATTTCTTTCTCTATGTGTGTAATCTATAGGATTTGTTGAGGGATCCCATATCCATAATCAGAGTTGATAACTTAGATTACACAATATAAATTTATGTGCACGCAACATTAAAACTAAAATCGGCTAGACGTTAACATGCAGAGCATATAGATCCCGTTGGGAATAGACCTTTGCCTAGAACTTATCATACACTTATTTACGAGGGACTTTTAGAATATGGAGATTTTTTATAGTAGATTTGAAAACATCAGGAAATATATGTTTTATCATATTTTACGCTCATGTTGTGAAATCTTAATGAAGGTTATTTACAAGTATTCCATAAATAAACCCCATTTCTTTGTATTTCATAAATCAAAATGGAGACGTCTTAGCTAAATGGAATTAATATCCAAAAATGTATATCAAATTATGTAAATTAAACATGGTGTTTTTACGAATTTTTTTTTTTTTTTTGACACGATTTTACTTACTGTTAATGGAATTACTTACGTAAATTCACCTGCGGCTAATATATACATACCATCAGAGAGAGAGAACGGAGTGGGTCTAACGTCCACAGCCTACATAATATGATCAATTGTATTACAATAATTCGCTACTGTTTGGTGGTGGGGGTGTCTTAGCAGTGGTGGGAAACCGGTGCTCCGTGAGAAAACCGACGAGCTTGGGCAGGCGACCGTAGTCCTTGTCACGTACAAATTTGGGATCGAAACCAAGGCACTTGAATCAATGTCAGACGTAAAGCCCCCTTTCTCACCGTCATAGACTATAAATTTCAAAAAGATTAATGTTGATTTGTTTGTGAATTAATCTTCAGTTTGGTTTTGTTTTAAAATTGATAAAAAGGTAAACAAATAAGCTCAATTTAGATAAAATTGCAGATGATAGTGTTATCTTCTATAGATTGTTTTTATATCATGATAAATCTAGTTTATCTAGGTAGAAATAATATATACCTTCTGTTCTATGTGTATATACAACTATTTATAGAGACATATATACTCACTCTATACATATTATATATTCACCGTTATAACATAGCACTCCTCGTTACATGGAGCTTAATGTCTTGAATAAGGAATGGTGTAAGAAAGGGGCATGGTGACACACTAGGATAGGGTTAAGACGGACCTCTATAGATATCATATATTACAAATTACATAATATAGGAACTTAACGTGTAGTCAATACTGGGGTAGGTATGAGACAACTTTCATGTATCTCCAAGACTAAGGTAAAGTATTGGACCATATTTCATACCATATTAATGTATCGATAAGACTAAGGTAACTATGAGATTAACTTTAATATCGTATTGATTTACGATCAAAACTGAGGTAAGGGTGGAATCAACATTCATACCGTGTCGTCAAACCTGAGGTATGGGGTCAACTTTCATACCGTATTCATGTATCGTTCAAACAGTGGTAAATATGAGACCAGGCTGAGGTAGGTATGATACCAAATTTCATACCGTATTGTGAAAACCGAGGTATTATAAGACCGACTTCCATAACCTATTGATATAGTGTCAAAACCAAATGGGGCCAACTTCCATACCCTATTGGTGTATTGTCAAAACTGAGGTATTAGGGGACCAACTTCCATACCGTATTGATGTATTGTCAAAATTGAGGTATTATGGGACCAACTTTCATGCCCTATTGATGTATCATCAAGACTCAGGTTTTATGGGACCAACTTTCATACCGTATTGATGTATTGTCAAATCTGAGGTAGGTACGATACCAACTTTCATACCCTATTGATGTATTGTCAAAACTGAGATATCATGGGACCAACTTTCATACCGTATTGATGTATTGTGAAGACTGAGGTATTATGGGATCAACTTTCAAACCGTATTGATGTATCATCAAGACTGAGGTAGGTACGATACCAACTTTCATACCCTATTGATGTATCATCAAGACTGATGTATTATGGGATCAACTTTCATACTCTAATGATGTATCATCAAGACTGAGGTAGTTATGATACCAGCTTTCATAGCGTGTTGATGTATTGTCAAATCTGAGTTATTATGGGACCAACTTTCATACATTGATGTATTAAGGTTAGAAGGGGATAATACAAACGAAATAAATCGGTCTTTAAGGAGGTAAACGGCAACCCGTTTTACCGTTGGTAAATTTATGACTTCCATCATATGAACTTAAAGGCCCAATATGCGTATCGTGTGGTATGATGCGTATGTTTTAGGCTCGGCTGTTCATATTTATAAATATTTGTTTTCTTTTTGTGAAGACATCTCTGTCCCTGGATTTAAAGCTACCGTGTGCGTGGTGGATCTATGTTCCGTTAGCGTTGGGGTCTTGTAAACTGACTCTATAACAAAAGCTCCATGATGGAGATCATAAGTTTACCGAACGGTAAAAACGGGTTGTTGTTTACCACCTTTATTATAGGCCGATATAATAAGGAGGTAATACTATAGAAACGGATGAAGTATGCGACCAACTTTCATACCGTATTAATGTATTGTCAAGAATGGGGTAAGTACAAAATATTTCCAAGACAACGACGAATAACTTCACACTAAAGTAGTAGTAGTAGTGGGTGGAAGACTCCCTGGAACAGTGCAGGTCGGCGTGGATCTCAGTGCTAGTGTCGAGTATAAACCTCCCATGTAATGAATAAAATAGCATATGCCCTCATAATAAGCTCATTAATCTTATCTCATTTTCCAACCCGATTGGTTTCAGCGAGATTAGTAACTTTAATCGCGATTATATTTTAATTTAAGGATCTTACGTCATGAAAACTGAGACAAAAACGTCGACGCACTGCGTAACTCGACTTTTTATGTTTGATTCGATTAAGACATGGCTGTGGTGCAAGAGACTTTGAAGATGATATAGCTATTGTATTATCTTATGGGTCGTTTCGCACCCTGTCGTTCTGTAAACTACAACATCGTAACGTAAGTGTTGAATTATTAAACCGTGTGTTACTAAATAGAGCTAGCTGTTGACACTCCTGTCAGTATTCTGTACCTGAGGTGATATTAAAAATACGCGATAATTATCTGTTAACCTTGATGATATTTTGATAGTAAAACCAGAGTATAAAGTAAATATATAGGTATAGAAAACAAAACCCAGGTAGAGTTGCAGGACTATTGTCGAGTCGAATAGAGGTAAGACTTGTATTCTGTGGGTGGTCTGGTGAAACCGATGTCTCAAAACTCGTTTTATCTCAAGAGAAAATAGGTGTTTGTAACGAAAGTAACCGCCAATTAAAATCTATGCTTCTCTCGTAATTAGGGTGCGCATTTAGCAAGTTGCGGGGTTGCAGTGTTCAGGATATTAGCTATCATAAAAGAGGATTACGCTATCAACGAACTTAAATACAGGCAATTGGTATGGAATCCGATTAAGGAGAATTTGATTTAATAATCGGAGTGTATTCATGCAATCACTGGTATAAAACAAAATATAATGTCATGTCATCGAGTTTTGTGGATGAACATTTAAATTGTTATTTTCGTTCTTCGTCTTGTTGGTTTTCCTGATGACGAAGTACACAGATCACGTTCCATTTCTTCATAAGACTGTAGCATGGGTTTTTGACTTGGCATGATTGAATCAGTTGCGAATTCATATTGCTATGCACAATTGAAACACGAAACATTTATAACATTGAGTCAACTAAATTTTACAATATAGAAACTTAATTTGAAAAATATCTGATTTTAATCAGATTCCGCATTATGCATGATAGAAGATATTACATTTTTCTGCACAATAGACGAATTATCTGTCATTGTGTATTTTATTTCAGAGCGATATAAAAGTTTAGATTTTTAAATGAAATAATAAGATGCCCATTGTGCAGTCTACAACTGTGCTATTATATTGTAATCTGGATTCTGCGAATTAAATGATATTTTCTGTTAATAGAAATTGATCTTGTTCATTTCTTACATTCTTTTCCATTTTCAAATCTATTTTGGGAAAGTCGTGACATTAAGATTACGCTTATAATTTGTAATTATCGGTGTTATGCTAAGCATGATCTTTTGGAAACCCTTCATAAATGATATAGTGTGCACTAAGTAAACGGTTAGATTCATTCTGAGATTAAGGAATTACTTCTCTGCCTATACATTGCAATGGATTAAACTGGATTAAACAGACTTGACATTTTTTATATTGCATGTTTGTGATTGTGCTAGAAGATTTAATAACAACGAAACAAGCGTTACAAAACTTTGTAGGGATATGAATAGTTAATGATGCATTACTCTTTTCGCCTATCAGCGTCTTTTATTACAGAGGCAATGTGACAAAAAAGTCATCAAAAGAAATGAAATGAAATGAAATGGGGTTTAACGTCCTACTGTTGTCATCAAAAGAGCTAAAAAGTAATGATCTTTAGAAAAGTACAAAAAGGCTTTTATGTTCAAAGATATAAATGGGTTATCGTTGAAAGGTCGATAGAGATTACAGGACATCTAAGATGGCGCCCTAAAATCAATAAAAAGCATGGCGAAAAGTCGATATCCTGAAGCCCCCCCCCCCTTCAAAAAATATTTTTTAAAATAAACTGTGTTTATTTTTATCTGGCCTCTAAAATAGGACCGGTCGGACGGCTGGAAAATATGATTCCCAATAACCGCTACATTCCATCACGTACAAACATAGCCGCCAAAATTTTGAAAGTATAGTTAATTTGAACACTTTTCTTCTGGAATCATGATACATGGTTCTTTGAAGATATACCGAGGTGCTACTGTATTTTGATTATTTTTTGTTTTTATTCCAGATGAGTGAAATACTGACAGCAAAAACTTAATGAAATCCAAGACAACCGAATGCTGTAATACCGCTATAATAAACGAGTTTTACAATTCAATAATGGACTGGTAATTATCCATTAAAGTGGAAAGATGAATTAAAGACTAAACTGTAAAAATCTAATTAATGTAAGGCATACAGTTAAGAAGGAATTGTTGCGCCACGGAATATTAATGACGAGAAGTCGTGACTGCTATTACAAGGGATAATAATAAAGTCGATGTCGATGTGATAATCCTTCGTGATATTTTCTATATTAATATACTGTGAACAAAACATAAGGGTATGTCACTATCAAACGCAGTTTGTGAGGTGGTCTTGAAACTGGACATATTCTACCAGGAAGACTGATATTTAATCATAAAGGACTGCTTGCTCTTATAGTTCGCATTTCGCCCATTAGGTTAGGAAGTGCCACAATACATATAAAAGTACAATTTGATTTTATACAGAAATTGTGATTGGAGCAGAACTGTAATAGGTTGTGTTCGGGTTTTCTTTTCCACTAATGGCTTTGTGAACCGTGGTGGGTATTGAGATTGATTCTGGAACCTCTTTTATTGTAAAAACAGGATCGAAATAGAACTCAAGATACTGTGATATTTAGTGGATTTCCAAGTGACTTGAAAAATAATAATCTGTACCATTTGTGATCACGATATATTTTCTCGAGATTAAAAAAACTTATAATCGGAGAGAATTTCCAGGTTCCTACATGTATATTAATAAGACAAGTATACAATCTGCGACCAACTTTAATCCTATCATGTATGATAAAACTGATGGGGATTGGTCGGTGGCGGAAGTCGTTTTACTAATATCAATGGGATTGTTCTGTCTGATCGCACTCAGTGCCAATTTATTGGTTATAACAACTATATTAGTAACTCGCAAACTGCGGTCTGTGTCTTCCATATTTGTTGTCAACATGGCGTTCTGTGACCTTGGTGTCAGTCTTGTTTCCATGCCATTGGTGCTCAGTGCCCTTTTTAATGGTGGCTGGATTTATTCACAGGTATGTATAGAAAGAGTATAGTAATGAAAATGAAATTACGAATTACAAACGCGGGACCCATGACTTGCAGAGATATTTGACCACTCACCCTATGCTATGTTGTGATAGAACATCCCTGTCGTATGCGCAATTTGCGCAATGCGCAGTAGTATCGGATCTCCAGGAAATCTTTGCATTATACGCATTGCCATTTGTTGCTTTGGTGCCAAAACCTGGCAAAGTTAATAATTGCAGAAATGGTTCAGTATAAATTGATAAACAAAAACTAATTAATATGTCCAAACTAGATTTTTGATCTGAGTGATTGGGGTTTGACGTGTGTTGTGGTCTCATTCTGTGGGTGAGGTGTGAAAAGCTTTGGAATGGTCATGATGTTATTTAGATTAACTTTGTGCATTAAACAGAGTATAAATACGCTTTCCACGTCTACTGTTACTGTAAACATTTTTCGTACAATCATAAAGTAAAAATATCCGTAACCCAGTCTTAATAGAAAACATTGGGTTTAGTATTCAGAATAATTATTTACGGAGCTTCGTTACACCCTGAATCTGCAAATTGATAAAAATATAATTGGAATTCATGTCGATGAATTTCAGCCAATATTTGAAAAAGCGAAAGCAGTCGATTTATTACCGAAGAGGAGAATCATAATCGGTAAAAGTTAAACCAACTCCGCCATATTGATTTTAATAACCAGTCGCTTTATGGTCACCGATCTCACAATTTCACTACCGATACAGGGCGTTTAGATGGCTTTACGTGTAGCCGAAGGAAACGTAATAGAATATTGATAATAGAATACGATTTTACATTAAACGGTAGCCAATCTGATCACTCAGATGTAACGTTCGTTTCGTGTTAGTCTTGACGCTGTACTGTAAAAAAACCCGAAACGCAGTTATATTAGAATTTTAATTAAAATTTTGAACTCTAGCGTGATAAATTATAACATCTTGAGTAAGTATCATATTGTTTATCTCTAACCACAATCAAACTGAACAGCCTCTAGTCGTGCGGATGGGATAAAAACTCCAGGACCTGTGTACACGTAAAAGAAGCCATATCCGTTGGAATTCGATGAAGAGAAGACAGAAACACGAATACCCTGTCGAAATTGCCTCTATAGCACACTGCATGGCGTGAAGTAAAATCACGTTATATCCCATTTCAGTTCAATTGAGTGTGGCGTCAGTGCATGGGATCAATATCTTAAAGGACAATATTGGTGCCAGTCATTATCACATATGTGATAGAACTAATTAAACACGTTCCAAATATAATTTTATCACAGAGATCATTGCTACGATAGCTGAGTAATACAGGTTTCCTGAATCGGAAGTGACGAACGCCAAAGGAAAACACGAGCCACATATGTGATAATGACTGACACCAATATTGTCCTCTAATACATGCTGTCACAAATCTTTCATTTTACCTATTTATTTATTTTTTATTTCTTATTTTTTCAGATGGCGTGTTCTATAACTGGATGCATTTTCACCGTGTTTGCAGTCGGGTCCATTCTATCCGTAGCCATTGTTTCTCTAGATCGTTTCTTCGCTATAATATATTGTTTACAATATTCGACGTGGAAAACTTCACACTATGGAGGCGGAGTTCTCTTGTGTTTGTGGATCCAGGCGCTACTATTTGGATTGTCTCCCCTGGTAGGCTGGAGTGAAGTTAGTTTTGACAAGTTGCGCTATATGTGCTTGATTCGGTGGGACGTATCTCTAAGTTATGCCATTTTGAATTGTGTGATATGTTTTTGTATACCGCTAATAATCATGACCATTTGTTATGTAAAGATTATTCAAGTTGCTCATCAGCATGTGCGGCAGATTGAAGACACTAATCATCATATCCAAAGACACAGTCCAGAATCTAGCCATATTAGCTTAAACGGTGCCGTAGCCGCAGCCGCCATGTTTTCCGTGCGTCGCCTTTCAATGTTAAGTTTTCCTGGATCAGTAGAAGAAATAACAACCGCTATAGACGTTGATTTTAACAGCGGTGCTTCAACAACCACGACCGCCTCGCCGTTTAGGAGAGACGTGCGAACTATTGTGCGTTTGTTGGGTCTGATCGTTGCGTATGCGTTGTGTTGGTCGCCGTTTGTCTATGTAAATATAGCACAAATCTTGAATCTGAACATTCCAAGTTATATGCTTACATTGTCTACCTGGTTCGCTTTAATGAACAGCTGTGTTAATCCCTTCAGCTATGCCATATCCAGCAAACGTTTCCGTTTTGCAACCAAGAAACTCTTTAACTACAACGACAGACATAAGTTTAATGTAACAAATCCCAGCCATGCGAACAACCAATCTTCTTATTCAGCGTTTTTAAAAACATTACGCTCTCCGTCTGTCTCCAGTGACCCAGGGGACAGCAGAAGGTTAATGCGAATGCGTTCAATGGACCGTGCTATTCGTAATGTAACCGAATTGCGACCCTCTTCTGCGTCTGCGCCGGATATCAAAAAGGTTAAAATGTCCTCCCAATATTTACAAGTTCCGCAGCAAAAAATTCCCTTTAGTGGTTCAACCGAAATGCCATTACAATATCGTGAACCGGATATACTTCCATTAAAAGACAGAAACACACTTGGAAGTGGGACGAGAAGAAACACCAGCCCAGAAGCCATTGGTCAAAATAACAATGTATTAGAGGACTTTGTATTTAGTAAAAATAACAAAGCAAAAATTAAAATAAAATTTGATCTTGTGCCAAATTAAACAAAACACACAGAGATTAAGTATTAATGTTTGGATTATATTAATCTTATAGATTTTTTTTTTTTACTTTGCTAAACATCAAACTTTTGTTAATATTGATACTAAATGTAATATGTACATATTGATTATAAATATACAGTTTTATAAATAAAATACTTTAGGACTTGTTATTCTTAATGATGCGGATTCAGGGGGGGCAAGTAAGCGACCCCCGCGAGACAAAGAAAGTGCCCCTAAGCAGTGGCGTAGCGAGGGGTTGAAAAGGGGGGGGGGCATAGCCAGATAATTAGAAGCTCAATTACATATTATACGTCGCTATCTGAAATTTTTTTCGGGCATACGGTGCTCGATTCCATTATCTCAAAATACTTCCACTCCTCCGTGGTCTTATATTAACTCATCACTATCATATTCAAGGTCATATTGAACCGCCCAGTTAGTAGTACCACTAGTGCGCGGGTCATGAAGCGACAGGCTGTACAAATGTTCTGTCAACTCTCGCAAAATAGTTAGAATATTCACCGTTATATTGAACCGCCCAGTTAGTAATACCGATAGTGTGTGGGTCGTGGGGCGACAGACTCTACAAATGTTATGCCAACTCTCACATAACAGACAGAATTGAGAGGTGGGTCTCGAGATTTTGTCCAATTTCTGATCCTCTAGTTCACAGGAATTTGCTCCCATCTTAGTCCCGGTCACCCAGAACCCCCAGTCTTGGACCGTTGTCAATATTTGACGAAAAGTTCCATTGCCCATGTGTAACCGGGAGTTTGGGTTTTTTGTGGTTGATTATCCAGTATCTTTGGCCAAGTCAAATAAGAGTTGCGCCCCTTCCCATAATAAATCCCATAATTCTTGTATTAATATAACAAACATGAATCGTGACGACGAATTAGGATTAATTAAAAAAAAACATAAATATGGTCCACGAAAAGAGAAATTTTACAATAAAAAAAATTAAGAGTGTTGGATATTGAACTGGCAATGCAATCAAATGGATTTTCTAAAATGGCATTCTTAAATTAATTTCATGGGCGTCAACATCTTGTTTTAGGAGTAGTTACCCTCCTTAGACTTTGTTTATGTTAAAGACCGGATAGCCAATGACCCATTATTCTCAAATGTTGACAACGCATCCAGACTAATATTCATAGAATGAACTCAAAATGGCAGGAAATTCACAAAAATTTTCAGACCAAGTCCCAAACAATTAAAAGCTCAATTACACATTATACGTTGCTATCTGATTTTTTTTTCGCGCCTACGGCGCTCTAGTTCATTATGTCATCATTCTTACACCCCTTTGTGGTCTTATACTATCTCATCTCTATCATTTTCACCGTTATATTGAACCGCCCAGTTAGTAGTACCACTAGTGTGCGGGTCATGGGACGACAGACTGTACAAATGGTCTGTCAACTTTCACAAAACAGACAGATCTCGAGATTATGTCCTATTTCTGTTCCTCTCATTCACAAGCATTTCTTCCCAACAATGACCTCAATAGGCAGGAAATTGACTCAAAGTTCAGGTTCCTCGCTTCGTCAACTTGTATAAAACTGCTTTCCGGCGAGATAACGATCGGCGACCAGCTATAATAAAGGCAATACGATCTATGTTGATATTCATTGTGGGGTGGGATTGGGGATGGCGCCCTAGATTTGGACCCCACCCTCTATTTGTAGTTTTTAGATCCGCTACTGGATGTATCATGTATTTATTTTAGTTGCTAATGCCATTATTCAGATATGCATTCACATGCCAAGTCTATAATCTACGCTCTAGATCAGTAACGTAAATAACAAAATTCTGGAATGGACACAAGAGGAACGACAAGAAGGTGATTGAAAGCCTTCAAGGACAACACATTGTTTACGATCTGTTAAATAGTTGTATATCCAATCGCATCAATTTAGACTAATACCATATTAGCCCGTTCAGACGCTTAAGTTGAACTGGTTTAAAAACCCGGAGATCGTTAAACCAGTTTAACTTAAGTGTCTGAACGCAAATGTGGGGCAAATAAACCAGTTAAAAAAAACCCAGTTCGCGACCTGTCTTCGAGGAGGCTTTTTATTTTAAACTGGTTCATCTTAGCCGTCTGAACGGGTTGGCTTAAAAAACCCGGCCTCTCGAAGAGTTCAGAATAATTAAACTGGTTTGGCTTATAGTACGTGTGAACGCAACACGATGCTGTCTTAAAAAACCCAGCAATTATGAATTGGTTTAAAAATAAGCGCTTGAACGGGCTAATACTTTCGCAGCTTATATATAATTCCCATGTGCTAGACTTTATAAAACGTTTTAGAAATATCACAGAATACAAAACTAAGCTCTTTCCCTTTGTCTATAGATTACTTAGTCATGATTATATTATATATCCCAAGAAGTTGGTTTATTGTTGAATCATTTTTTTATTTATTTTTTTTGGAAATCCTGACTGATGTTTAGACAATAAATCATGTTGTTTAATGAAGTTGTACAGGTGTTTTAGGATAATATTTTTTTCAAAATCTTACAAATTGTGCACGTTAATGAAATGAGGCGATAATTTTCTGGTAATTTTGTATCACTCCCCCCTTTGAAAGCGGCTGTGACATGTGAAGCTTTCCATATGTTTGGAAGTTGTTTAATTGTAAGACATAGGTTAAACAGATGAGTTAATGGAATTACAGTCGCGGGAGATATGGTTTTTTTTAGATTTAATGGGTTGATTTCATCTGGCTTTGAAGAGTTAGGTATTTTTAATTGATTTTTAACCTCTTGTTCAGTTACGATAAAATCATTCAGTGTGACATCAGAGCGTGCATCAAAAGGGGGGGGGGGTAATTAATGCGAGGTATTTGGTTTTGATACAGATATAAAATATGAATTTATTTTGTTGTTTTATCAAATGGCTGAAAATAAATTTTGCCGTTTATACGATATTTTTTATAGGTCTTAAAGTTAATTTCTACAGTTATTAACGAATGTGTACTACATATAGGGTGCAGTATTGTATTTTTAGAAATAACGTACCTTTTATGTGTAATAAAAAGATATATGTATGTTCCGGGATGGGTTGTAAAATTAGTTGATATAAGATTTACTAGATCCAAGCGTTGCAATAAAATACGCTTAGTTTTTGGCATTACTGGAATTAGTTAAAACATTCATATTAAAATCTCCTTTTAATATCAAGGGAAAGCTTGTATCGCTTTACTTACTATATCATAAAATGAATCCAAAAAGAAATTTGCGTGTTTGGTGGACGATATAGAACTTCCTAGTTGAAACGTACTCTTAGAATAACTAATACCGACAAAAATTATTTCTAAAATTTGATAAACACATAATATGTCATGTGTATTATTCATTGTCAAAATATATATATAAATGAAATGAAATGGGATTTAACGTCCTACTGTTCTTATCTGAACTGGGCTAATAAAGACGGGCATACGCCTTACAGTGTGCTATGAGGGAAATTTTGCCCGGACAGCGTCACTACGGCCTACTCTTATATCGAATTCCAACTGTCAAGGGATCTTTTACGTGCACGCCAATGTGTACACGGGACCTCGGTTTTTCGTCCCATCCGAACGACTGACAAGGGGGAACCACGCCGGAAAAATCTGGATGAACTTTCTCGGCCAATGCAGGGATCGAACACCCGACCTCCAGGCTAGCGAGCCAGCGTCTTACCCATTTAGCCAACAAAATATATATAAATAATAACGTTTAGTATCAGTTTAGTTGAAACACAGTTAATTTGTTTCCCGATACTGTTATTCTTTTTGTTGTTATTGTGGAAATTACTAATTACGTCATTGTGTGTGCTTGACCAATCACATAATTAATTGTACACATTTGGTCAATTGAATAATTAATAGCAGAAAATCTGAACGTGACAGCTTTCTCAAGGCCAATGTCCATAGTGGGTCCTATAAAAGACATTATGTAGACATTATGTAGATTCTTTAATGAATAGGCACGCATTTGGTTCTTTAGGAGATAATGTTTAGGTTCAGACACACCATCTGGATTTAGTAGACCCCATTGTTTCGTAGGAGAGCCATGATGTAGGGGATCCGTCTGTAATTCGCTCTGCGAGTTAGTTGGGTTGAGAGAATGACTTTTATTGTAATCTGTGCTTTTAATAATAATAATAATAATATGAACATTTGTATAGCGTCAATTCCACACTTAAAGTATGCTTTATGCGCTTTTTACACACAATTTTTAATTAGATATAACGTTGAAATAGGTATATTTTAAGTCTGGATTTGAAACACTCAATAGAAGGAGCACTTTTGATGAACACTGGAAGATCGTTCCATTTTAATGGAGCAAGAAAACTAAAAGCTCTTTCCCCAAATGTTTTCATTCTCCACCTTGGGATCACCAACTGTATTTGGTCACATGAGCGTCAACTCCAGGAATGCTTGTAACTTTGAATTAGTTTAGTTAAATAAGATGGTGCTAGGTTATTAACACATTGATAGGTCAGCGAAAGAATCTTGAAATCACTCCTTTCCTGTATTCGCAGCCAGTGTAAAGAATTTAATATTGGTGATACATGAGATGTTTGTGGGGGTACGAGATACTATCCGAGCGGCAGTGTTTTGTATCTTTTGTAACTTCTTAATGGACTCCTTAGATACACCACCAAGAAGACTATTGCAATAGTCTAAACGGGATAGGATTAAGGAGCGGACAAGTGTACTTGTTGCTTCGGGTGTTAGATAATCTCCAATCCGACTGATATTTTTTAGGTGAAAGTAACATTTTAACCATGTATCCTGTAAGTAGAAAAATATACTGTTGTACTGTTTTAGCGAGATTGGATGGCCCAATGGTTAGCACGCGCCCGGTATCATAAGGTCTGTCATTGAGTCAAATGGCGGGGTTTCGATTCACCCTCGTGGGTTTTCTCCGGGTCCCTCCCACTGCTAAAGACCACTACGTGCAAGTGAATTATTGAAATAAAATTGAACCATGTGTTAGTCCCGAAATGACCTAGTTTGTGTCAAGTGGACGTTAAACACACACACACTCTCTCTCCCTCGTACTGTTAATCCTGAAATCACATAGTTAGCTGCTGAAAATACGTACACAACAAGTGATGTTGAAA